ACACACACACACACACACACACACACACACACACACACACACACACACACTTCTCTGGCGTAATTATGTAATCTGAACCAAGCCTGCATTCCCTCTGACTTTCACAGACTATGTACATAATATTTTAATACAAAGGGGCTTGAAATGTGACTCTAAGACCAAGCTGGCATTGTTAGATCATTTCTTAGTGTGTGCAAAACTAGGCCATTGCAGATTTAAATGTGGGAACCTATTCAAATGACTAGGGAGATTACATTTTCTGGAGTACAGAGAGGCAGATTCAAGGTGACACAACCATAAGCCCATTCCACCAAATAAAGCACCGGTGCTTAATTGCATATTAATGTATTCCAGGAAACCAAATAAAATGAGAAGAGCTGGCAACTGTGCACAGGGGTTAGCGGGTTCGGTGAGAAAAGGTAACCTTCGGTTCACTAAGGAACAGAAAACAACTGGATTTTTGAGTAAAAACTACCAACGCTGGTGGCGTGCCAAATGTTATTTAAGCCCTCAAAGGATTAGATCCTTTAACTAAACTGCCTAACCTCTGAAATGAACTTACGGACCCTACAAAAATGGGCTAAAAAGCTTGTGAGCGCTGTCTTCCTTACGAGAGGTTTCCGCAGGGCCAGAAATGTTGCATACTTTCTTCCCAGGATTTTGGCACGTGCACTTTCATTCATATCAGTCGGAAACTGTGGGTTTAATCCCATGACATGAAAACCAATGGATTTTCGTTGGAAAGATGGAATTAAGGTTGGTGACACAGAAGCTGCAGTAGTTCTGTCATAGCTTTGTGAAGAGGGATACTGATGCTGTTTCTTTTACGGCCAAATTACATTTGATGTGATTGGTTGAGGGCATGCGAGTATTATTTTTCTGTTTATATACTGAAATGAAAATGATGGAGGCACAGGTAACCGAAATACAAGAGAACAAGGGTGAAATATGGCTGGGTCACTAATTGAAGGACTCAAAATTCAGAATTTGCAACATTTCTGGTTGCATACCCAATCAAACTCTGTCTTCTTAAGAAATCTCTGTGCATCTCCCTTGCCTCATCACTTAGATGGTGTAAGCCTTTCTATATTCCTGAGCCACCTTCCAACATCCACATTCGCACTCTACTGATCTGATGTGTACAGGTTCAGAGGCAAAAAGCACACTGCAAAATAACTGGTGTTGCTTGTTTTTAATAATGAAATAAATCAATAAAAGCAACAGCATAAGCTTATTAACAATAATCATAAAAGGGGGGGGCATGTGAGCAGTTTAATATTTAAAAGCTTAAGACTGAGCCTTATTCCCAAGGGGGTCGTCAGTGCAACACTGACCTCGGTACGGCATCCCGAATTAACAATAAGTTTCTATCCTCTCCTCCTGAGGAACTAAAACTATTTAAGAAAGGTCTGTAAGCATCCTTTATCGTGGCAAAACAATACTTTTTTCTGCCTGCAGCATAACACATCTCGTGACTGCTCCAGGTAACATAGAGCTTGTCTAACACTTCTGCGTTCAGCTGTGTATAACTCTAACCCAACTCTCACACGCAGGCTACTCATCAAATTATTTAAAACCATTACACACACACAATTGATTCCAAGTATGTAATTTAGAAGACAGGTATGAGATAAGAGAGAGTGAATTAGTAGAACATGTTTGAGTCAGAAGTAAATAATAATGAGATCTCTTTTAATGCAAAAAAATTAAAGCAGAAAATTATAGAGAAAGTGCAAAATGGGGAACTAAACTCAATTGATTATAAGGAAGATTAGAGAAGCTGAAGATATTTCACAAAGAGGAGAGAAACATCAAAAGAATAATAAAATAAAATAATAGACAATTTTGCTGGTAATAGCAGAAGCAAAGAATATTAAAGAGCAGAGTCAAAGTTGTCCACTGGATAACTAGGGGTGGCCTTTCCTTGTATGGATACTTGGCAAAGGGGAGAGGGCTACATTTGCTCTGTTTGACAGTGAAGATTGTGGTGCTGTCTAATGCTACTGTTTTCTTAAGGCACATTACTAACTATAAACGTTAAAAAACAAGGCATGAATGGGGTGTGTGTGGGGGACTACATGTACATAGTCATGCACGTGTGTGCAGTGTCAGCAGTATCTCTCACACTTCTTGGAAAGCAGTCTGGGTCTGGATCCAGGAGCAGCTGGGCTCGTCTTATGTTAACTTCATTTCTTCTGCCACCTCCAGGGAGTGGAGAGGACTAAGCACCGTGCACACTTAGACATCAGGACTTCTGAGTAGGCACTACAGGATCTAGCCCAGTGCCTCTGTTCTCCCTTGTACGTGTTGTCATTTCTAAAGCACGTGTTGCAATATCATGTGTCTGGCTCCATAGCAGAAGATAAGGAAGAGAGAAATCAAAGTGACACTGAGTAACTATACATATTAAGCTCTGATGCAGAAACATATTGTTTGAAAATATTGTGCGTGCAGCAGGTCTGTCAATTAGAGCTAATTATTTTTCTCTGATCAGGAAGAATGCAATCTTGTTTTAGGCAGGTTTCTTTGAAATGTACGTCTTTTATATAACTTCATTATGGGGAAATATTTCCTTCAGATTACTTTTCTCTGGGTTGCTTAGCTATTGACTCAAATTGTCTATGTTGAGTAGTTCTCTCTGCTTTGATAATTAACTTTTGATCATTACTGAATTTAACAGCTCTAGTCAGATGTGTTCATAGTCATCCTCCTCAATTACTTCAGTGCTCATCACCTTTAATCTTTGAACAAAATGATCTCATTGAGCCTCCATCAGCTTTGCTACAGAGTTAATAATTTCTGTTTCACATTTTCGTGACTAAGTTTGATTTGTTTTAGAGGTGATGTGAGCTTTTGATTATTAATTTAAAAGGTTTCAAAGGCAAACAGGTTTTTTTTTTTTTAAGAGTTATTTTGTGAACTTCTATTTCTGGGCCTTTACATAGAAGAAACAGGTTTTGAAAGCCATAATGATTCCTGAATCCCATGTATTAAAATAACTAACTATAAATAGAAAGGGTAGGAGGTTCCCAAATCATGATACATGGGTTCTGAGTGGAAGATCAAACTGCAAAAGACTGGAATGAAAATGAACCAGTGTAATGTAATTCAATAGGCATTATGAGAATTACATCATGGGATTGCTGCTAATTTTGAGTTTGAAAATGTACATTAAAAATAATTTAAGATAATTAGAAAATGGAGACTGGACTGAACTAGAGAGTTATGCCCCTTAATTTGCAATTTGCTTTTAATTTTTTATGATTATAGTCCTAGATATATACCATCTCTCAAAAATTCCCTCTTCACAGCTGCTCCGAAAGGTCGATGGGAAGAAAAGAGAAAATGAACTGGAAGAGCTGATGAAGGGCAACAGCAGCTGGCAGCACCTTCATCATTGGAAATTCTTTTGAGAGGAGAGGGGAGAGGGTTTTCCACAGCATTTAGGGCAGCTAAACCTAACCTCCAGATTAGAGTATCATAGAACAGTAATAAAGAGTTCACACACAGCATCCTAGCTGGTTAAAGTTTAATCTGACACCGCCAGCATCCCAGCATGCTCTCTGGGCTGGATGGGGCTCTCTGCTCCACACCAGGGTTGGCTCCTCCTCTTTGCTCCCTGGCTGGAGCTTGGCACAGACTTCAGACATCCCTGCTCCCACCTCTTCCCATCCCCTCTGCCTTGCAGACACCTCTCAGCATTAGCCAGCAGACCACATGCTGGCTTTGGTCCGTGCTGTGGCAGGCGGGACAAAAGCAGAATCAACAGGTAGCTGGTAATGTCCCTCTGTTGTTTTCTTAATGGGGTGATAAACACTGTTATCAATTCACTGCTGAGGTACTCGGGGAGTGGGGGGGGCAGGGAGAGGGAGGAACCCCTCCTTAATCAAAACATCCTGCCAGGGTCTGGCCATACACCCCTCAGCTCAGCACTGTAGCAGGGAAGGGAAGGCTGCTCTAGCAGCCCCTGGTTTCTCGCCTGAACCACTGCAGGCATGGGCCCACATTTCTGG